CCTTAATTCCATACTTGGAGCAAAACATTGAATTTAAGTCATGTTGGGGGGTGGAGAGATGGTCGGCCGCGGGGCGCTTTGTCCAGACTTTTTCTGAATGATGCCAGCGAGGGCTGCAGCCGGGCTCTGGTGCGGGGGCGAGTCAGGCGTAGGGGGCTGGTCGTCGTCCGAGTCGGCAGCGGCAGCGGCAGCGGCAGGCATTGCAGGACGAGAGGGCAGTGCTGGCGAGGCTGCGGCTGCGGCTGCGGATTCAGCGCTGCCTTGGAGGAGCTCGATGTAGTTTGCAGGCGCGAAGCCGTAGTCGCTCTCCACGCCCACCAGCGTCCAGTCGGGATCGGAGGTGTCGTACACATCAAGGAGTGCGTCTTCCTTGAACGAGAGCTCCTCATCCGTTTGGCGGGCATAGTCGTAGAGTGCCTTGGCCTGCGCGACTGGGCCGGCCTCTTCGATGTAGTTGTTCGGGATCAAACCCTCCGGCTCGTGCTCCTCATCTTCGCCGCCCTTCTTCTTGGCCTTCCACCAGTCGTCATCAGTCGACTTCTCCAGCACCATCAGGATGTCGCCCTCTTTCAGGGCCAGCTCATTGCTGCTCTGAGGCTCATAGTCGTAGACGGCGCGGTATATGCCCACGAACACCATGGCGGCGGTTGGCCGTGGTCGCGCACCCTTGCAACGACCTGTAGTGTGGGGTAGGGGGGCGTCGAGGGAGATTTGGGGTCTGTTGGCAGCTTGAGCAGGCGACGACAGGAGGCGACGATACACAGGATACACAGGAGCTTGGCGGAGAGCTACGGCTTGCGGCCACACTTCGAGGGGGAGGGGGGAGAGGGCTGGCCAGGGGAGCGGCTGCGTAGGGCGCCTTCCGGATCGCCGCACGCTGTACGCTAGACAGCTGGTGGGTGCAGTGGTGCAGTGTCGTGGCTGGTGGGTGAAAGAGGGCCGCGGGTGCACGCGATCAGATGCAATGGGGCGGAGCTGTAGGAAGCCACCGGGAGAGAGGGCGAGAGGGAGAGGAAGGCAAGAGAAAGAGAGAGAGAGAGAGAGAGAGAGAGAGAGAGAGAGAGGGAGAGAGAGAGACTGCCTGGTGTGTGGTTGGTGGTTTAGGCCCACGAAGTCCGTGAGGCTGTGGAGCACGGGCTGGCTGGCCTTTCGCTCGGGCCGCTAGTTGCTGGCTTCGACCCGCACCGACGTCAGCTCCTTACAGCCAGTAGTTGCTGTAAGCGTAGTCGTTCTCATGGACAACTTCAATCTAGGTACCTACTTAATGACCGTCATCGAGACGATCCAGTACATATTTGGGTAGCATGTGTTATTTGCGGTACTCCCAAGGTTTACATTTCCATTACGGTACTCCAGAGTTTGCATTTTTCATCCACTGCATCCTACCACAAGCACATACACAACTTACACACGACAAGAAGACATCGGCCATGCCCCGAATCAATAGGTAAACCTAAAACCCTCAGTCCGCTCCAACACCATCTTCCCTTTGCTCTGCCTCTGGTTTGCAATGTAAAACCAGGCTGAGAAAAGGCCCACAATACCAATGATCAGGATGTGACTGCCAATGCTAACCCAGATGGCTGTCATGTACCTCGGACTCTCCTGCTGCCGAACGATGAAACTGCCAGCAATGCCCCCCACTCCATTGAACGCCGTCACCAGCGCAGCTGTCCAGACTCGCTTCCATTGTCCCACAATATTGTTGGCCTGGTAAGTTGCCATCGCCGCCCAATTAGCTACGTAGGCGCCAGTTGCAAGGTATGTGCCAATATATCGAACCGTGACCTGGTCAGAAAAACCGAGCATGCAAAAGCCTACAATGAGGCATATACTGTTGAATATAATGACAGGTCCACGGAGCTGATATTTGTCACCGACCATGGACGAGAAGATTACCGCTACCACTGCGTAGTAGTATGGCGGCGCGGAGAGCAGGATGGATTCGTTGCTCGAGAACCCCATGCCGCCCTGGAGGATAATGGGCAAGAAGTAGGACAATGAAGTCGAGACCAAATTCTGCAACAAGTACAATGTGCAAAACCCGTAGACTTTGATGTCTTTGGCATGCATCAAGAGCTTAGACCAGGTAAACGGGTCAGGCTCAACGTCTCCACGATCTTTCTCAATTCGCCCAGAGGCGAGTGCGCTCTCCGCGGGAGTCAGGAAGTGGAAGGATGCGTGTGCATGTTCGGGAAAGTCGACCATCCACCAGTACGTGAGGATGCCTATAAAGGCTGTTATAGACCCCTGGACTAGATACATCCACTGCCAGCCCTTGAGATAGGTGCCGTCCAAGGTGTTGTTGACCGCAAAGTTTACTATCCCGCCCGTCGCCAATACAATCACTTCTCCACTCTGCATGAGCGCAAAGCGCACCTGCTGCTCTTTCCTCGTGTACCAAGTCGAGATGAGATAGGTCAAGCCTGGGTAGATGCCAGACATGGTGATTCCGAGCAAGACTCGAAGTGCGATCATCTGCCTCCACGTCTGCACAAACGCCGTGGCTAGGGTGATGATACCAAAGCAGAAGGTGATCGAGGCGAACCAAATTCTCGGTCCAAAGGTACGAACAGCAATAGTCGAGGGAAGCTGGAAGGTAATCGAGGCTATCGTGAATATGAAAATGGCAATTGAATATCTGTTGCCAACATTCAGGTCCAGGTCGTCAAGCATGGATGTAACCGACGCCGACGAGATGACCCCACTGTCCAGTAGGTTCAGACTGCAGAGAACACCTGCAATACTGCACAGTCGCACGTCGACTTTGAGTCTGATTGTCTTCCACTCTTCCTCAACACCCTCCCTTTCGCCGACGGCAGCCCCGCGCTCATCGTTTGGCAATCCGCACACTGGCTCATCGAGTGACGCTTGACTGGATGCGCTCTTTGTCATGTCGCGCAATTGCCCGGTGGTGTAGAGGATTAGCAAATTTACTCCTACATTGGAGGAAGGATAATGTGCGGGGTCATTGGGAAGCCCAGGCAATGGAAGTAGATGGAAGGGGCTTATCGTCCCAAAGTAGTGGTTTCCATCCATGTTCGGCATGAGGCTCCGCACTATACGGAATAAGTCACAAATATGATGGGGAGCTGCAGCTCCGTGTGCGAATCAATGCGCGGTTCTCGCCATCAGTTTACACAACGGTGGCTAATGCACATCCATCATGATACGGTACATCATGGGTGATGAGTGGCCAGCCTGTTTCTAAGCCACCTCAAACACCTCAAACAAAAAGCACGCAACAAAGGACATGCACAAATTGGTATCGATTTTCGTCCGATGAAGGAGGACCCTTTCTAGTATAACCCACTGACCATCTCAAGCCCTGTGGTCAGATGTGCAGCCGCAACAAGTAGCGAATGTGGGTATTGGGAGTACAGCCTTGAAAAAAGTAGAAAAAAACAGAGGGAAAAAAGAGAGAAAACAAAAGCGATTGGAGAAATCAAGATATGTCCAGGGACCATAGTGGAAGAGAAACAGCAGCCCTTCCAGAGTATAGCAACAAGCGTAATCCGCAATGGATTCAGAATGAAGGCCGATGCTCCGATTGTCCCAACCGGGCATACCTATGCTACGATGCTACCCAATCCAACGTTTGAGGAAGACAATTTAGTTGCATAGGGCTCACGGCTTGGACAACAGGGTAGCATGCAGACGCTACCGGGAATCCCAAAAGCACTCGCTTCGTAAATCATCAAACCAAAGGGAGCTTCCCGATTGTCAAAAGTCAAGATTAAAGGATGTAAAGATTGAACCATCGAAGGAAAGGATCGAGACCAAAGATAGACCTTTAGCCGTCATCCTCTGCGTCGTCATCGTCTTCATCCTCCTCTTCTTCACTCGTGCTTTGTCTTTGCGCAGCACCGGCTTTGCTCTTCTTGTTGTTTGGCGTTGTCTTTAGCTGCGTAGAGGAAGCCTTGCGCTTGGGGGCAGAGCTGCCAGCCTTCGATGACATGGACGCATTCTCTTTATTGCCATCTTCGCCGTCAATCCCCTTCCCAGCGTCCATGGCAGCCACCTCTTCGGCGGTCAGGAATCGACCGCCAGGACCACGCGGGCGGCGCATAGCATGGTTGTGTCTGGATTCATGAAGATAGGGTTTACGACCTTTCGATGTCAAACGTAAAGCATCTTCAAGCTTTTGGCGGGCAAGGCGTCTCTTCAAGATGCGATGAAACTGCTTGGCGTTGACATAGAGTGGCGCCTCCTCTGGCTGCGCACCAGAAACAAGCTCGGGTGATTGCTGATGTTGTGGAGGCTGCTGCGACATGTTGGGAATGGAAGACCTAGGTCCACCGTGATTCATAACCGGTTGCGGTTGCTGCATCGCAGGACTGCTGATTTGCGTGCTCATACGTCGCTGCTGCAGCTGACTAGGTGTCATCTGCTGCACTTGTGATGGTAGTGCATTTGACATGAAATTTGACACGCGAAGTCTATTATATTAGTTGAGGAGAGG